CGATAACAAAAATGTTCCAATCGGTAAAGTAGCGAATATGCATGCATGTAAACATCATAAAACATACATATGTATAATAATAAAGTTAGTTTGTTTTTATACTTACGCTTTCCAGTGAGCGGTAAATTCAGCATAAAATAAGAACTTAATATCTCACCAGAGTGCAAAACAGTAATGCGCAAATTAAACGGAATCACAGGTCCAGGTAACCTAACAACAACTGCGAATATAACTGCAACGCACTTATGAAATGTTATCGATGTGGCTTGTGATACTGTCCAGTGCTAGGCATAAGGCATCATTTAAGTTGCCGGACCACTGCAGTATATTTCAAGCAGAGGACTTTGCTATTGAGAAAGCCGCGAAGCTAGCTTCTAATGCATCAGCAGGCAACTAGACAGATAACATCTACGTAGACGGCCAAGCAGCAACCAAGCCAATAACCTCCTGTCGCATATCAGCCAGAAATGTTTTGGTATGCAGGGCAGCAGTGGAGAGTGTCGGCAAGAGCAAGCGGCTTCACTTCTACTGGGTGCCAGGTTTCAAAAGCATCCATGGCAATGAGATAGTGGATGAGATTGCCAAGAGTGGCGTTCGGCTGTCGTCCGATAACGTGACCGATATTGGTAAATCCATGCATTTTCTTTACGACTATCTGGATAAGAGCATGTCAAGAAAGATTAGCATTTGAAGGAATGATCTACCAGGATGCAAACCTGCAAAGGTAGGTAGGTAGAAATTGTAGGAACATTATTGGAATACTAGTCACAGTCTGGCGGCGGCACACGCCTGCAGAATAGGGCTGACATAACTGGATGACTGCAGGAAATGTCAAGAGCAAGGCACCAAAGAAACAGTGGAGCAAGGCAAGTGCACTAGCAGGGAAAAGCTTAAAACATTCGAAGAAGTGCCCCATAACCAATTGAAATTCACGTCATGCGCTTGCATTCTAAAGGATTTAATTCTCATTATCTCAAGAACTACGTAACGGCACTACATCTGGCTTCGCTAAGGGCCAAAACTGGTCTATACGTCTCATTAGAATAGCAGACTAACCCATCATAGCCTTAAAAAACTATATTAAATCTTTTTTAATAAAGGTTAGAAACACACGTATAATTCACTAAAAATCTGATCTCATAAATATCCCACTGTTTTCGCATTTTATTTCTGCTGGATTCTTAGTGGTAGTTCGTTGTTTTGACCGTCATCTATTCAGCGACCCATGTGGTGGCAGTGCTGCCAAATTAAACCACCAAATCATAAGCTCTCTACAAGAAAAGAGAAACGCTTCGGATCATATCATATTTAGTTTTTTTATTGAACCAATTATATTTTCCAATTTCTTACGACTTTGCTTGCCTCTTAAATTTTTTTAGTTTTCCAGTCAAGACTACCAAAATTCTAAAATTAAAAGCATTAACGTGCAATTCTTAAGACTTTTGCTTAAGAAAGTGATGAACGATAGACGTACACCAGAGTTTCGATTAGATTAAGAAACTCATAAAAACTTTAACAGATATCTAATGGCGTTCTTTAGTAAATAACCAGCGATATAAGGGGGGACCAGGGTTGATTCGAGTAAAATAAGACCACATTTAGTTTATATTAACTTTTCTTGGGTGTTTGGAACACCTAAAAGGAAACGTCGAAGACCCAATAAAGTATATAAAACCCAGTACAACAAATTACGAGTAAATTTTTTCCGCAGCGGTGAGATAATAATTTTCGGAAAGAGGAGGTTTTTCATGATTATTTTATCCGAAGAAAATAATAGACTGCTTCGTCTTAGTATTTTGTTACACACAGTTGAAGTTTAAAGGTCTACGGAGTGGTGTAAACATCAATGAAACATTGTAAACTTTGTTTTTTGTGTAGTGCGTTGGCTTAAACTTCGTATCCGGGGGTTTTTGGTGTCAAGGAATTTGAATTTGTGGTTTAATTTAAAATTGTAGACAATCTAGTAAAAAAATCGTCAATTAAACGCCATCTACAGGCTAAGTGGTTGATATGAAACCTAAACAATGTTCCTCATGAAAAATTAGGGTTCTCTTATACAACAAAACTTTCTCACTGAAAGATACACAACATTTACATATTATTTCAAAACTTATTATTAATTGGAATTACTTTTTAACTTTAGAATAAAATATTTAAGTGCATATTAAGTATATGTTCCTTATTCATGTTTTCTGGAATGTTCAGCAGCATCAATTTTTTTTTCTTTACATTGTTTTTCCACTGTTTTTATTTCCAGTAAGCATAGCTTCCACATTTTCGTCATAGTTTTACGCACATTTGTTGCCAGAAAATTCTTCTACAGCCATTATCATATAGTCGAAAGCAGATCGTTCGTCACAAATCTAAACTTCTTTTTTCTCCTTTATACCATCCTAACAAAGCACTTTGGCATAATTTACATACAAAATGTGGTGTCCAATATGCGTTTAAATTTTAACAACCCGATACAATGTTAACGCTTCTCGATATTTGCAAAAACATTGCATTATTATTTTTTTATAGAGAATAAACCCAAAAAATTATGTTTAAACCACTCCGTAAACCTTCAAACTTCAACTGCGTGTAACAAAAAACTGTGAGGTAACAGTCTATTACCTTCTTCTGATAAACTGATCAGGACAATCTCTCCTTTTCGAAAATTACTATCTCATCGCAGCGGGAAAATGCATGTTGTAAAGTGCTTGCATGGAAAACTTTTTAATTTGAAGAGGTATCTTTACGAAATTAGGCACGAGCTATTGTCTAACATTATTCGAATCGTATTACTATAGCATATAGCTGCCATACTAACTGAAAGATCGGAATCAAGTGCTTGTATGGTAAACTTTTTCATTTGACGAGGTATCTTAACGAAATTTTGCATGGATTTTTTTAAGGCAATAATGCAATCTCCAAAGAAATAGATCGGATCAATGTTGCCTTTAGTTGCCATACAAACTGAACGATTGGAATCAAGTGCTTGTGTAGAAAATTCTTTCATTTGACGAGGTATCTTCACGGAAGTTTTCACGGATTATTATTTAAGGCAACAATATATTCTCCGCAGAAATTGTTCAGATTAGATCACTTTATCATATAGGTGTTAACTAAGTTATCGTTTGCTCTTGTTTTTTTATTAAAATTGTGAAATTTAATATAATATATAATAGTATATCTTTCGAATGGAATGTGCGAATAATTCAAAAAGTTATATAGGGGCATTGAATCAATCTTGAATATGAAATAATTAATTTTGATGAGGATTAATACTAAGGTGCAAATAATGACATTTTACAGAGGCGACATTTCAGTTATAATTTTTTTAATAAAAGAATAATTTTATTGTAATAGTTAAGTTTTATTACAATTTGATATATGTTCTGCAAAGTACATTATTTTGCTCTATAACCAATTCGCAACTCACGCTGTGTAAATAATTTTTTTACACCTTGGGTTACATTATTGATGTTTTAGTGAGGATTCCTAACTTTTTTGAAAATATTATATAGCCTATTTGCACCGGAGAATGTGTAACATCCCAACTGTGAATGTATTTTTCAAACAAACAATCAAAGCGTATCTCTCAACTTTAAAAGGTAAATCAGGATTACGAAAAGTGCGATAACTCAATAAATAAAAGCGCTAGAGACACTAAATTCTGCACCCAAGGTGATACAAAAAAGCTTTATAAGGACCTTTATCAAAATTGGACTAATTTCAATAAAATTTAGCACATAATATTAACTAGACAGTTTTATATTACAGAGCGAAAATGGGAATAATCAGGCTACAACCACGAATACTGTATAATTTTTTCACTTCCCAGTTTACAAATCAAGCACCAATGACTGTATCAGGATAAAACTTTGTACGAAGAGTGCCTCCAAGGTGTGTCACCTTGTGACCGAAAAGTGTCGATATTGGACTACAACTGTTCCAGCTCCCAGATACCGAAAATTGCGAAGTTTTTGTTAAAAATTATGGTCAATCTGTGGGATATAATATCGAAATTCAAAAAAAGTCCTTTTCTGATGATAGAATGCTCGTATATCAAAAATGGGTTCAAACGGTCAATACTTTTTTTTAGTATATATCGAATATAACGATTATCGAACTTATAGTTGACTTGATACCGTATTATTGGTCAATATGTAAGATATCTTAACAACCGTTACCACCACAGGTCCCTCGACAGTCGGGTTTAACTAATCGAAAGGGGCACGGATATTTATCAGCCCAAGGACTGTCAACTTCAACGAAATTACTTCAAGAATGTTTTCTGGCGCTAAAACAACAACATATATAAAATACTCTGAACGTATAATGTTAGATATATTATAGCCGAACAATGCCCACACGTTTCTCCTCATCCAATTTATCCCACCCTATTCACGAACTGGACGAAGAAGTACAGACTGGATCTCAATATCTCCGACGATGAAGTTAAAATTCCGACGATTAACAACCTTAAAATTTTAGGCGTTACACTAGACAGTCTGCACTTTTTCTCTCCGCACACAAAAGCGATTGTTACAAAAGTACAGAGCCGCAACTAAATTTTCACGTCGCTAGCCGGCTGCATTTGTGCAAAGAGACGTTGTTGACAATATACAAAGCAATCGGTGGGCTGCAGGTTAAAATCCTACACATCCAGAATAGACCCCGATATATAAAACCTATATCCTGCATGCAACGAATCACCGCACAACACTAATCACCTCTTTACTTGTCCTATGAATCCCACTCATTAACCCTTCACTCCCTATGGTCCGAGCCCGTCGAAATAGCTTGCTTTCTGAGCCCACTGTTAACTTGACTTCTTACTTTCCCCAAAACAGGGTCTAAACAAACGTTACAATAACAACAAACCATTCACGATTTCTTCGTAAAATGAATATTAAATGTTTTCGCAACATTTTTTTATGTAAAGTTTTGCCAACACCACATGGGCTTTTTAAGGCTTTCATATTTGCAAGTTGCAAGAGTATAAAATGTGTGATATCCCCGAACTTAGCCCTTCCTTACTTGTTCTTTTACATTTTATTTCGTAATGTTTACTATTGTTTTACACATAGTACAGTTTGTTGTTAAAAAATGTTTTAAGGGGAAATTATGTTAGTTTTTTAAATTTAAATAAATACTAAACATTTTGAATTAGTTCGGGAACCCAACTACCGCATAGGAACATGGTTAGCGAAGTATCGAACATTGTAATCGATTGTTCAATAGTGATATTTATACAAAAATTATCACAATCCTGTGCTGTTGGATATATAAGATATTCTTTCGAGAAGATTAAGAATAACTTTTGGAATTCATAATGGCAAAAATGGCTTTTCAACATCAGGCCGGGACGGCTATGGAATGCTTAAGTGTAAACAAAATTTATTTATTTATTATTTTATATAACAAGCTATATCTTAGATACCTATTACACTTCATAAAGAGAAAGATTACGATATAGAAGGCAGAGAAATTCTGAAATGTGGGTTTAAAATAGGAGGTGGTATTGATCAAGACTTCAAAAAAAGTCCTCAAGGATATACAGATTATGTTAGTAAGTAAAAGTTCAACCAAATTTAATTTAATCGTATACATTTTACAGGGCATTTATGTTACGGAAGTGCACGATAAGAGTCCTGCTTCCCGAGCTGGTCTTCGCATCCATGACAAAATTTTGCAGTGTAATGGCTATGATTTTACAATGGTAACACATAAAAAGGGTGTAAGCTATATACAAAAAAACCCAGTACTAAATATGCTTGTTGCCAGAAAGGGAGTCACTTCAACATAAGTATCAACTCTTCCGCATTTATGTCAGTAATTTGACTCAAGCGCAAATTTTATTTATTTGATAAAATTAACCACCCTTGTCTGAATAGAGTGTCAACTTAGTGTGACTGTCCAACGGCGTCAATTTTGCATTTAATATTAGAAACGCGATTCGTCAAACGACAGTAGATGGCATAGTTCAGTTGAATTACAAATTTCAGTTTTGTTTTCTTTGTTTAAAAAATAAGTAAATTCAGTTAATGGATTATTAAACTAATGTAAAAATTCGGATTCTGTGTTTGTCAATGTGGTTTGAAGTGCACAACAACTTATTTAAGTATATTTAATGTAAAGATTGTGATAAATAAAAATTAAGTAACTAGTTTTACAGAGTGGTGGTTATTTCAAATATCAATGTTTTCAAGTTGAAATGTGAAAAGCGAATTTATTAGCTTCACCTGTATGTATATTTGTAATTTTTTTCAGGGAAAGTGAAACCTAAGAGCAGAAAACTTACACCACGAGAAGGTTTTTATTTTAATTATTTTAGTATGATACTTAAACAAATTGAAAATATGAGACAAAAAGTTTCACTTTAACTGCGATCGATTGTCTTCGAGTTACAAATGCAGCCAAACTCTTCATTAATCGGCTTAGTTTCTTTCGTCCATCTGTCACATACATACTACAGAGCTGGGATTTAGAATAGTTTGCCCCGATTTTTGTTTATCGTTTTCGAGATATTTGCATTTAAAGTTAAAAAAATTAACTATTTAAAGTTCCTATTTTTTAATTTATAATGATAAATGTATAGTTTAGGTCCTCCAACTAAGGAGGCCTCAAAAACGATTTTTTTTTTAAATTTTAATGGTCTTATTTTACGCGAGGATTAGAAATCCGTGAGAGGAAAGTGAAATTTTGGGAAAACTTTAGTATAACGTCCCACGCTTTCGGGGATAAAATGGGTATGGGCGGATAGAGGAGATCCTCCAGATCAAGAATATATATAGATATAGCCGCGGGAAACTTATAGTTTTCGAGATATTTGGGTTTAAAGTTCAAAATTTCGACTATTTAAAGTACGCATTTTTCCCATTTCGAATGAGTTATACACTTATATTTTCCACTTTTATATCCACTAACACTTCACTAATTCGTTTGTACACATTTATTTTACATTATATAGTGCAAAAATAGTTTAATTCAATAATTAAATTATTGTTAAATTCTATTAATTCTGACAATAACAAAAGGGTTGCAAAATTTCAAATAACCAGTGTTACCTTATCGACATCTTTTGTAATTGAACTGAAAGAAATTAAAACAGATAATACCCCAAATACAGGTATCCAAAACCTAGAGAAATAAACTATTACAAAGCATTGATGTTAAGTATTATGCTATACCCTCTATGACAATATTACTTTTTTCTTGTAGAACTTTTTGCGTTGGCGGCCTTCGGCCGCGCTTCAAAAAAATAACCCTGGTCGATCCAACAACGGGGTGTATCAAAGTTTTTTTGCGCAGAACTTATTTTTGCGTTAGTGGCCTTCGGCCGCGCTTCAAAAAAAAAATAACTCTGGTCGATCCAACACCGGAGTGTACCAAAGTTTTTACGCGCAGAAATTCTTTTTGCGTTGTTTCCCGTATCTAGGATACAATCTCTCTGTTAATTTTATTTTTCTTCGTTTGCAAAATGTATTAGTATGGCAACACTGATGTTTTGACATTCACAACCATTTTGTTATTGTCAAAATTAATAAAATTAAAGAATGATTTAAATATTGAAATAAAGCTATTTCTGCAGCATCTAATATAAAAAAAATTTCTAAAAACGAATTAGTCAAGTGTTAGTGGATATAAAAGTGAAAAATATAAGTGTATAATTCATTTTAACTCGCAAAAATACGTACTTTAAATAGTTCAAATTTTCAACTTTAAACGTAAATATCTCGAAAACTATAAGTTTCCCGCGGCTATATCTATATATATTCTTGATCTGGAGGATCTCCTCTATCCGCCCATACCCGTTTTATCCCCGAAAGCATGGGACGTTATTCTAAAGCCGACCCGTCACTGATACCATCCCCCCGCATTTGCATGTTGACTATAAATGAACAATGAATGACAGAAGGAAGAATTGACAACATGGCCTATTAGCGACTTAAAATATTATTTTCATTTACTTTATATTTTGCACTATATATGGCATTAAATTATCCAAATTCTGCCGCATTAGCCACTGTTTTATTATTATTATTTGCTCAATAAGCATATTGCTCACGCAACGCACATATTTACATGAATTGAAAAAATTGTCTATTAAATGTTTATGCTTTTCATAATTATAAATTTTGTCATATCATAGAAATTGAAAGCACAAACTTAAATAGGTTTGCGCGTCGAAAATTCATTTAAGAACATTCGTTGGTGTTTTTCCGTTTCCCACATTGCATGGTGTACATTTCTTCTCGAAGTTATATTTTTCGATGAAGGAACTCCTGTGAAAACTACAAATTACATAAGAAATGATTTGATTTAGTATTTGCACTATATTAACATTATTAAAATTTGGTTAAGGTAATCAAACAAAATGTTAAGGTAATCAAACAAAATGTTAAAATATGAGCTGATGAAGAAATCTTCCACTTTCAATTTTGTTCTGAAATGAACTAGAAGAAGCAATTTTTAATAACAATTCCAATAAATAAAGTATATTTACATATTCAACATACAAGTATATAATATTAGCCAGTTATGATTATATTACATTGGGAAACACTAGTTTTGCTCTATGAAGTTTCTTACCCGACTTTGTAAGATTTTTTCACTCTAATTCCAAATCTGTAGTAAATTTGCCTTTAGCAGCTTTAGTTTTTTACATTTCTAGCCAAATACTACTATAAATACTGTTTATACTTAACATGAAAAAAACTTTCTTTATGTGAATTCCAACGACCCTCGTATCGCTCTTCCATAGTACGAATATACTGATGAAAACGTTCTCCTTTTTCTTCGCTAAAATCGCTTTGGGAAGCTCTCTAAATGGCTAAAGAGGAAGTGCAATATTTTACTGATATATATAAATAATTCCATATCCTTGTATAGAGCTTTTAAAAACTGTTTTTATCAGACCTAACCTTATATAAAGAGGCGTTAATATAATGCGGTCACTGGCTACTAGAGTGGCATTCATCACGTTCATACCTCTCGGTACTAAATTCACTCCCAAAGGCCAAAATTTTTTTGTCCAGTGTTCTGTCTTGGCTTGGATATCCTATAAGCACATTTGGTATATCTTCTTTGTTGACCCAAAAGAAAATTTACCATTTTAAGATGGACGCATACCAGCCGGTTATGTTCTATGTATTTTATTTTCCCAAAGTAGTCCATATAGGTCTTTTTTATATAGAAACAGGTGCATTTAAACTGCATTCTCTAAACACCTAATCACTACAAACATCACAAAAACTATTCGGATCATTTAAACGTGTTCTTCTTAATGTAGACATAGTGTTTTATTTATTACATTTAATAATTTTTATTTACCGTTTCTATTAATTTGAGTGAGCCGAGTAACAATATTTCCAGAAGTACCTGTATCACTAAAACTATAGCTGCTAAAAATAAATTGAGTTTAAATTCACCTCTTTACGATGGCGACATAATTGATTCCAATCGATTTCTAGCTCGGGCAGCGCTATGAGAGTTTTTGTCTGTTCTCTGCAATTATATATAATTTCTTTAGAAGCAAAATAAAATTCAAGAACTTACCATCTTTATAAACGACTTTTGATGTTAAAATTAAGGTAGTTAGGTAGTTGCTGTCTGACGACGCACCTAGGCCTGTAGGATGTCCATTGTGATACCACCGGAACTAATGCTACGCAATTCAGCATTCGTTTTCATTTAGAAACTCTTATCCTGATTGCAATAGCGCTCGGTTTTAAATGAATATATACGATATGTTCGAAAATTTTAATTTTATCTATTTTTTGTATGTAAAATTAAAATATGCATAGAATAATAGACATATTTTGAAAAATTGTGAATAAGGATAAAATTAAGATACTCAAAAATATTTAATTAACATTTCTAATAATATTTAGCGGTATTAAATGTTATAATATATACATATTTATATAAATTAATACTAATAAAAATGGGTTTACTTTTACTTTTTTATATTTACATAAAATATTAAGATGCTTTCATATTTATTTCTTTTAACCGCAAACTTTAGTTCAAATATCATGTTAAATATTACTTAAAACAAGAAATGTAATTAATTTATGAATGATTTGTAGTAAACAGAAACAAATGTGGAAAAAAAATACGGGTTTTTAATAATTCTCGATAGCTATTCAATACATTCTAGTGGATTAGGGAACCCCCGTCATAAGATTTTATTTGAAAATAATAATAGTGGTTATTTTAAATATTGTTCAACCATTTTCATGATAATTCCTTGTAAGCAAAATATGAGACCACCATACCAACATACAAATGAAATATAGCCGAACCGCTTAAACATTTGCGAAAATTTTATGATAAGGAATGACAGAAAAACTCGATTCGAGTCACTGGACTCTTTTCGGTCAGAACGACACCAAAAGAGAATTTGTCGGTAATGAGCGACAAAAGAGCCCCCATTTGAACGCCAGAATGATTGAATACAAGATTACGACAATAATTTATCGTTACTTTTTTCGGTTTAGGCTGTGACAATTATTACAAAAACCAATTGCACTATGGCGCCATCTTGTGACGTAATTATTTTGAGTTGAGAAGAAAAGCATAAACAGCATGTGAAGACTTTTGTTAATTCGTGAAACATACTTAATTTTCTATTTTATAGTAAAAAAATTACGTCATAAGATGGCGGTTGACGTAATTTCTTGGTAGATCTTAAAAACTTTAATTAAAAGGCCTTTGGGCCTCTTTAACTGCAAACGCACTATTTGAGTACGCATGGATACGAGTAGGTATTATATAGACTAGGTAGAAAAAGTCTCCGCTCACTGGGTACAAAATATTTTAAACTTAAATAAAAGTTTGACCAATTAAGAAAATTAAAAATTTTTTTGTGCTATTAAATCATATATTTTCGTTTTTCATATAATTCAATAAACAAAAGCCACAGAGATCATTTTCATTTTAAAAACAATTAATTTAAACGGAAAAAGTCTCCGCTTATCAAACAGAACCAATAATATCAAGTAATTATAAAAAGTTTAATAGCTGGTGGGGTAGCCTCGAAATTTTAAATTTTGAATGCTCAATTGATTGAGGTCAGGTGATTGTGGAGTTGAATGTAGCTGTTTTGGAGCATTGTAAAGAAGCCAAAGGCGAACAAGATCCGCTGTATGCTTAGGGTCATTGTCCTGTAGGAAACAAAATACGTTTGGCAATCCTAATTTGTCAGCACTTTGCTTCATTTGTCGTTTTAAAATATTTAGATAATAAAATTTATTCATTATTCAAGTTTGGATGACGTATCTGATTTCACAAAAGCTTTTACCGTCCTCCCTTAATTTTAATATTATTTACCTCTCATCAACACTTATTTCGATTAAAGCTGATAATTCGAAAAATTTACACACAAATTGCAGATTTTTCCTTCGATTATCTAAATCTGTATTATTGACAACAACGCACAAAAAATTATCAGCTCTTAAACGCGTGGAAACTACAATAAATTAAGGTAATAAGCACTTTTTCTGCTTATTCTGTATTAGTAGAATTCAAAAAATGCCGTTAACTTTTGCAAACGCACATAGGAATTCCAAGAAATTTGGCGACTATAATGTTATTAGCATGCGCATCTGATGTTCTGACAAGAACTTCAAAAACACATTCCACGAATTGGTGAGCGGAGACTTTTTCTACCTAGTGTACATATATATATTTGTCCGTAACAGTTCGCTGCTACCCAATTCGACATTCGTTGTCATTTGTAACTCTTTTTATGGTTGCAATAGCGCTCGGGTTCAAATTAATATTTACATGTTCGGAAATTTGAACTTTATTATTGTTGTACTTTTACTATGCATATTTTCCAAACCACTAAAGATATTTCAAGCAAACTTGCTGAGAAGAATTCCCTCTAATGTTTTTTCAAGCAATGTGAAAATAAGTGAAATCAAATGATAACCATGTCCACTATCCCTATAACGGCAATGTTAATAATTGGTGGAAGTGTGAAACTTAGCCAGTTATTGCATTTGTACGAGTATTTGTTTAAATACAAATATATTTTACATTACTACTCAGGAGATCTTTCTCAATCCCTCGTATTTATTTTTACCGTTACAATTTCATTGAGACCTAAAATGTGTCAAGCAATTAAAACTAAATTACTGAAATATTGAGTAACTTCTTGGCATTAGAAAAGTGACAAATTTGTTGAGCCTCTAGATAAAAATCTCAAAGCTGGACGAGGCAAGCTAAAGTGTTTTTTTTTTTATCTGAAGTTGAATTGCTTCAACTTCAAACTTCGCCTCCATACCATAAATATAACCATTAATGCAAATACATCTTCTTTTCATAGTGGAATTGAAAGTGGATTTGAATTATACAGTTTTCAATGGTTGACTTATTTTATATAATACACAATGAATAAAACATACACAGGATTTTAATTTGAAATATGTTTATTACAAAACTTTTAAGTCCGTTCGTCGTTCTAGAATGTGTATACAAGTTTCATACTTGAAATTAACGATGCCCAACTCCTTCAGTGCGTTCACCTTTTGCTCGAGATTTGTTTGAGATATTAGAGCTTCGTGTAACAAAAGTGCAGTACCGCGTGCGGCGTTCAGCAACTTGCTTGAGTCGTGAACTCTATGTAATAAAACAAAATCTATTTAAATATTATATTTCAATCTATCATTATGTGTAAAGACATCATAAATAAATAAATAAATAATAATTGTACATAGACATTTACTGGTATATTTTTATCTTCGCTAAAGATTTGTTGTATTTTTAACATTCCTATATAAACATGCCACACAAAAAAAAAAAAACACAGGTCCCTGTTAAAAATAAGTGCAGTTTATTTTCCATAAAAGTTTGTGAAAGCTAAATAGATAATTAGTTTGTGCATAAAAATATTTTTTAGTTTTACCGGGCCGCCTTGAGAAATAACGATGGCCTTACCAGTCATGGGGCTCTGGTACGGCGAAGTGTTCTCCTATATAACCAGAGATCTGAAAGCTCTTCACCATGAGAGTCCATCTTATGGACCAAGATGAGCGAAGAATAAGAACAATAATCTCAACAAAAAACCGACAATAAATCGACTGCGCTCATTATGGTTCATGCGAGAGACGACGATATGATGTCATGCAGTGGCACCTACAAGACGACTTCTACTGCGATCGACGAGACGTAGACCCCAGAACAATGCCTTTTCGGAGGGCGTAAGGGGAGGAAGAAAGCTTAATGTCCTTGATGGTGGTCTTGATGACCCTCGCGGGGAGGCACTTACATGATGGTTAATTACCGGAAGAGACTGAGAAACTCACTTTGAGTAAGTTTAGGTTGCAGCAATTCCTACAAAGAGAACAGCAGGAGAATATACCGTGTCCAGCCAGTGATCGCAGTGCAGCACTTCGTTCGAAATTCTCGAGATAGTTGAGGGTCAACGTAAATAGTCCGAGGCTTTATAAGGCATACTGATGGCGGTATTGCCTCACAACTATCCGCGTTAACATTGTGGTCGGAGAAGTTGAGAGTTCCAGAAAAACATCATCAACAGGAGGTGTGGGTACACGGTCTATTTGCATGGTGTTTAATTCAGAATAGGTCTACTGCTAGTCAATTGCAATGACGAAAAGCCTGCCACCTGCCAGATCACTCCGAAGCTAGAAATCTGAAAGGTGCAGTCCTTTGCGCAAAAAGGGACGAAGAAATTCTGATATTTTCTCAGCATGAGGGCGCCGGTAGTGGGCTTAATATCAGCATAGAGTTCGGAATGGGGGTTCCGTCTGAACTATAGGTTCAATGCCGTGGTAATGAGGCCTAGGAAGCCAAAAACCATGGCAGAAAAAGCGGTTAGTAATGAAGAGAGTAGGGCAGTTAGGCAGCCACGCGTACTGGTACCTGGAAGGAAAATAACCATCACCTTACAACTTACAACAAAGAAATTAGGTCCGCGTTGGGCGACATTCTGCACAAAGCTCTGTCCATAGGCATGACTGCAGAAAAAGCAAGGGCAATTCTGCTTGCGCATTCCATAACCATGGATAATAGCAAAGATAATCTTCATACGTGAGGTAGCAAGACCAATTAGCCTTACTTCCTTCATGTTAAAAGGCATTAAAAAGAATATAGACAATGAAGTAAGGAATAATATAAGAAGTCGTTGAAGATCGCGCTACACGCAAATCAGCACGTTTACAGAACAGGTAGGTTCTCTAATACGGCTTTACATAGCTAACGGAAATGCAAAGTTCGCTGGACTAAGTAGAGGTGACGACATACGCCTTCCTAGACATCGAAAATACCTTTGACAATAACTAACACGCAAGTATAATAAAATCACTAGAGTAAAGGAATCTTATTTATGTGGAGACGAGAATAACTATTGAAAATCGTAACCAGGCAGTCTATTTTTTTAATAAACTAACGCTTGATGCTCGAAACGCTGTGAGAAATAAATCCAGATTGCTTAAATAACAATGTTAGTTATTAATATTTTATTAAATAAAAATAAATACTGGACGATTAATCCCGAAAATTTCACTTATTTATCTCCAATGGTTGGTTTAAAAACTCTTTTTTAAATGAAAGTACCTAAAATTTTCATTTCAAAATACAATTATATTTAAAATTTAAATTTTTAAAAATCATTCATTAAGTCATGTCGGCTTGAAGTTCCATTTGTGTGTACTGGATTAAAAAGAAATCTTTTCGCCAATTTTTCGTGTCTTACTCCGATGCTAGATTATATAATTTACGTGCTACAGGAATACACGTAAAGCGACAGCTCGGTCGGTGACAATACTAATCCAACTATTCGTACAAGTTTTTTGGCTTTGAAACGACCTATTGTCGTAAGTTCATTCCTACCGATCTCCATATTTCATTTGAATGTCCATTTCTGGACAAAAAATTGATTGCTTTATAGACGTATTAATATAATATTAAAACTTGCTTCTTTAGCTTCCCATATTTCTTGATTGATAAATATTATTGTTATGTTGTTTGTATTTCTTTCAACGTCTGCTTGTTTCCCAATCTCTGTACGATTTTTGGAAAGTTCTTCTCAAAGTAGAAGCAACAAAGAACCGAAAGTTCGCTGTAATACTAACCTATCTTAGTTGCCAAAGGACACGTGCACCAAGTGTCATAAACATAACTTAAATTTCACTGAAGTTAAGGCTAGCACGGTGATTGATGGATAGACACAAATAATTTCATTTTATCTACATTATTTCTTTGTTATTCTATACTTACTTTTTAAAGAGTAAATCTGGTCGCCGGCAATATTGTCCAAATAGGGGAAAAAGATTTCGAGTCATGTCGAAATTAAATTGGGCGGCTCCTGCTGGTGTAAATTTGTTATTCATAACAAGGCTATCGAAGAGAAATTCGTCTACGTTGTTAGCTATTATACGCAGCGTCAGCCTAAACAGGTTTAATGATAGATCCCGCTCCAGATTGTGAAGCGTTGTCACCATTACCTACAAAATAAAATTTAGAAAATATAAATATATTATCATTTATTATGATACTATTATCATTATTTGTCCATGAACAATGTAGTGTGCCGCAATCTTTAAAAACTATAATACTTAAGCACTATACGCAACTAAACATTTATACTAACATGATATATATTGTTAAACTGAAAGGGGTATTAAACGAACCTTCTTCTGTTATTGTTCTATGTATGTGAGTTTGTACGATAGATTTTTTCTTTTTTAAAAAAATATCCCGAGGGTTTTAGCAACTACGTGAAAACCATACCTGGAAGAGTTAAGTGGTGCCTTAAGCGTCGATCTGAATGTATCTGAAAGATCTCAGTAATTTGAATTTTAATGAAACTGAACAGCTGTTTCCGATATATACAGTGCAGACAAAACCTCTGTTGCTGGAAAAGAACCATCCTAATTTTAGTTGTTGATGTAGGGGTGTAGATGCGGGATATCTCAATGCGTCTGCAAGTTCATGCTTACTTCTTGGAATAATTGTTTAAATTACAGAAGTGTTTCGTATTTTCGGTTTCGTGTTCTCAGTAAACTAAGATGCTAACGGTACTAATCATACCGCAGAGACAGGTGACCCCAGAGATAAAGAGATGACAAAAATAATGCATGCGTGAAAAGTGTACGATCATCTTATTTCAATACATTCAATTTTAATTAAAACTTAAATAAGTTCCAAAAGAAAATGAAGGAGATGATGTGGGGGTAGACGTGGGAGAAAAATACATTGAATATATTGATATTTTAAAGAACAAAGTATTGTAAAAATTGGTTTTTTGGACCTCGAACATTAGGCGAAAATTGTCAGGTTGTGGCTTATTTATAACGTTTTAAAACAATTTTCAACATCTTTATAATGAACTAATCCGAATCCCATTGAACACCTATGGAACATAAAGAAATACACCATAACGATCAAATGCTGAAAAGAATCATCTGAGATGATTGGGGATAAATTACAGTTGAGGAGCCTTTAAAGCTGGTTAATTATAAGACCAAACTGTTTAAACACCGTGGATACCCTACTCATTATTAGAATACCATTTTTCATTAGTATTTATTTTTTTTATTTATTTTCTTTTGATATTTGGATAAATTGGTATTTATGGGCGTAGACTTTTGACGATTAAATTTTTGAATTGTTTAAGCAAAATTTAATTATGTAGATTTCATTTCATAAATTATTTCCAAACTTGCAACATAAAAATCATCAAGTGAAGTGACTGAATAACTTTTATACTTTCGCAAAAAAACATGTTGCAAGAAGAATTTTATTAATTCACCTAACAGTTATTTGTACATACGTATAACAATGATCATGAAGATCAGTGTTGAATTCCGTTGTTGAGAATTGAGATATCTTGATGAATTCGGTAGACGTGTTTTTCGGCACTTAGAGAGAATATGGTACTTTGAAGTGTTAGCAAAAGTTTATATTAAAAATGTAGGGAAGGGCTAAGTACGAGTGGGACCGAACATTTTATACTCTTGCAATTTGTAAGAAGGGAGATACTATCAGGTGCTGGCAAAACTTTATATCAAACAAGTAAGAAAGAGCTAAGTTCGGGTGGAACCGAACATTTTATATTCTCGCAACTATTCGAATTCGAATTTCAATAATATATCTGACAGGTTGACCGATATTTTCAGTAAAAATTACGCAATAGGAACTGTAGTCCACATATTCAGGATCTGTAGTTTTGGTCGGACTTGCACAAGACGGCACACCTCAAAGGTACTATTAGTGCAAAGTTTTATCCGGATACATGGATTGCTTCTTGATTTGTATACTGGAAAGTAAAAGAATCAGATGGAATTCAAAATTGTGTCATTTGGGAAGTGGCCGTGGATTTTGTCTGATTTCGACCATTTTCGCACTGTAATTTAGGAATGTCAGGATAATATTGCCCAACGCATTTTATTGAAATCGGTCGAGTAGGTCCTGAAGTATAAATTTTCACCTAAATGTAGGCGGTGCCCATCGTCCAAATTTGACACCGGTTCCTATTCGTACCATCTCGGCTGTAAAATTTTATGACTCCGGCGCATTTACATAGTTATAGATTTATCGCACTTTTAGTAGTTTTTAGAGAAACCGTTATATGGGGAATTCACCCATTTTTACAAGGTGAATAGGGATGCCAAAAAGTTTTGCCTTGAGCAAATTTGAATTGAAGGGACGTTGGGTTATTGTAATCCTTCTGTACTCACCAAAGACTGGAGGGTGATTAGGCCGGAGAAGACCGAGGAACCATATTGGCAAGCGGTGATACTCCTAAACAAGGAGTCCCTCGCTCCTCTTAGGGTCGCAAAGGGGCCAAAAGCTATGGCTTCGGGAGGGTGGTTCTCAGGATACTCCCGACAGCAGCCAGGACGGGATTGTTGGACAAACACGAACCCCTCTGTTGGACGTCGGAGCTAACGCAGATCAGATATTCGAGTAGAAGACTCTTCAACAAAACACGTAAAAGTGGCTCTAGTGATGACTAGGCGCTGTATAAGGCTAGAATGGCTATATGCAAGTTCGGGTTAAGGAAAGCCAAGAGAGCCTCGCGGAGAGCCAGCTGCGGCTGGGTAGAGGTTTGTCAGGAGAGGCGTATTCTAGGGAAAAATTCTACTGTAGTGCTAAGACATCCCGAAAGGTTAATAGGCGCAGGATGGGGTTTAACGACTTACTTGAAGAACTCAAGGAACAAAGCTGTCGGGTGATAGCCTACGCTGACGATGTAGTGTGGTTAAAGGAAAATTCCTAAATACCGCCTAAGGTATCCGAAGGGTATCTCAACGTGGTACCCCACTGGGCGAATAAAAGCGGTCCAGCCCTCAACCCAAGTACAAATTAAATGGTTTTATTTATGACCAAGTATAAGATCCCAAACGTACTTCTCCCTCTTTCGAGGGTTCACGTCTTCAAGCTGTTGATTAGGTTGAATACCTAGGGCTTAGGGCAAACATTGAGGAGATAGTTAGGAAGGCATCGGTTGTTGCAGAGGATCTATTATGAACGGTGGTGACTCTCACTAAAAGTTGTATTTTAGTTTTACGAAACCGTAGTCAAGCCAATAGTGTCCTATGGTGTATTCGTTTGGTGGAATGCGGGCGAAAGGGCTACACTTTCCAAAAATGATTGAGCGTGTTCAAAGAGCGGCTTTCATCGGAATCTCCGGTGCACTACGACTACACCAACAAAAGCACTTATTGCTATTTTAAACATAGCACCCGTGGACGTTGTTGGCAGGGGCATTGCCTCGAAGTGTGCTCTAAGGCTCAGGGTAGCTGGGTTTTTGAAGGGGTATGAACAAGGACACGGCGTAATTCTCTCCTCCTTCAACTACATTCCTGAAAATTTGGATCACTGCGTCACAGAGGCCACTAGTTGCGGCTTTTTCTCTGCTCATGGAAATGTGGATGGGAAGAAGTCGATAGAAGGGGATGTTTTCTGTAAGGAGTTTTCCTTCAATCTGAGCTTCAGCCTACCGGACCACTGTTAGTTGTTTTTACGTGGAAGTGGCTGCTAACAAGATGGTGGTACGAAGTTCTAGCACTGTACCAATGAACCGCGAGGTCACTTAGCAGGTGCTGGTCGAAGATCAGTTCCTGTGCGACGGCGGAATCTGTCTGACCTAGATTAGAAGTGATCTAGTGAACTACCCGCCCTGAGCAAAGTTCATCACGCCACAATCGTAGGAATTCTCACTGGACACTGACCAACAGGCATTCATGCAGTAAGGCTTAAAGACTTATCCTCCTTAGGATCAACCACTTAACCTAACCTAATATGTTGCAAGAGCATAAGAATTCAACATTTGTTTTTCGGCGAAATCTTGAATAGATTATCATATTTGGATCTTATTAACTTTTATTATATTATAGCTAATGTTATTACTACATTTTGCCTAATGTTCTAAATATTTATATTAAAATCAACCTATTCAACTCAAATGAGATAGATGTAATATTAACTCACCGAAAGTGACTAAATTGAATATATTTGGACCATGAGAAAAAGTCAACCAGAGAAACAGAAAACATTATATAAGGGAGAAGTGTAATTTTATTTATGTTCAGTTCTAAACCACATTCTGTTTAAAAACCATAACCACTTAATTTCAATAAAATAACACATACATACCATATATTGACCAACATTAACGATTTAATGTCAGATGGAAAGTCGAAAAACACTATTTTGGATATATTCTGGCAAAGAGAAGGTCTGAACTATTTGCAATAACATTTGGCATTACTCACGTAAAGTCTGCTAGAGAATCGAATATATTATATGTAGTATAAGGAGCGTAATTCATAGACCGATTTTAACTATAGTATATCTGTTCTATATGTTCACTTAATTATGCTAAGATATCTTACATACGGTATACAACCAACCGAAAGTTTATTGTTTATATACATATATATTTATTATATTAGGGGTACTATTGAAATGATGTTATCAATTTTTGATATCTTTTCTCTGACTTTTAATAAGATACCTCACAGATTGATTGATACCTGAATTGTTTTAGTTTTTCGATACGAAATTTTCTGCTGTTAAATTATCGGTAAAATCTTCACATCAAGAACAATCAATGAAATTTTAACTGAACTTTGTTGTACATAGCTCGTAATACCAAAAACAGTTTGGTTTTTAAAATTGAATTGCTTCAGTATAATAACGGTGGCAAGTATGTGTGAAATAAGCGTATACTCAGCGCGCGCTGATAGTGCCCGCGCGAAATGGGATGCCGATCACTGTTGGTCGGTAAAATTACACATTCAATTTATATTTTTATCTATTTTTAATTTTGATTTTGAGACTGATTATATTTTAATTTTTTGAATGCAAAAATTTGCAACCCAGTGTATAAATCTGTTCATTATTTGTGACTTAGCCTTTACAATTAATTAATTAGCAAAATAAATAAATAATAAATGTTTGTGTGTATAAAATGAAAAAGAAATAATATGTAGTTTTGAAATCATAATCATTCGTAAAAATATACCTGAAACATTTCTCCTGCACTAGAAGACAAAATAAATGGCTCTTTGCAATTCTGATCTGATGCACTAGCCCAACAGTCATGTCGATAGGTCATCGACTTTGCTTTTATTTCATTTACCGCCTTTGTCGCCAAGCTGTCAATAAGTTTTTTGATCCAATGTTCTAGTTCTCCCACAGGTTGCTCAAATACTGAGTGAATTTCAATTGAATTCTGCCCTACTAGTGCAGCATGTAAATGCAAATAATGAATGTTTTCGCCCCATTCATTTAACACCAAAGACAAGTAATTTATAGCGTTCAAAATGGATATTATTTCAATTACTCCACTGCTAAAAAGTTGAACGAGGCGGCGTCGGAAATTTTCTATCAGTTCTAATTGAAGCGAAAGAAATTGTAATTGTTGTCCTGGTTGGATAAGTGTACCATATCGCTCTTTAATAGCCTCAAGAAGTCGTATAAATTGATCAACGCATTTCGGGATTTTCAAATCGTTATCGTACATGAAGGGATCAATAATCGTCCAGGCATCATCGCCTTGTAATATAAGGTCCATTTTTTCCGCACAAACTGTAAACAAATTACTCATCAACTTATTATAAAGCATGCGTAGATCTTTATGTACTTACAACGCTCTTCAAGAGAAATCCATTTCAATAAGTATGCAGGTTGAGTTATTACGCATATTACACTTGGAAAACTACTTGGATATCCGAAGTTTCCCCGAAGTTCAGCTTCGAACGCTAAGGTTTCATCTAGTAAATGGGCAAATAAATGTTCATCCCGGCTAATATCCTCAATGTCAGCTGTAAGTTTTTCAATTATCATCTGTACGAGGCCACGAATGAATTCTAGCTGTAAAAATATTCCATTTTAGGAATCAAATGGTGTTATTAAATATTAAGTCAGAGGTTGCCTCTGCGCGATATTTCAACGATATGTGCGTTAAGTTGATAAACCTCGACGACTTTGTTCAATTTAAAGCTTCATTCTTTTGGTCGACTTTTAAAGCGATTCAATATTAGCATTGTATTGGATTGAGGTTTGCGAAATTCATTCTGTTAATAAATGTGACAATTATTTAATGTTTACATGCCACTATATGTCTTATTTGATTTCAATATAGTAATTGATTTCTTGAGTTATCTAAGCTAATGAAGTCTAATACGACGACATTAGAGGTATTTGTGGCTTTGTTGTCACACTTTGCTAACGGTATTACCAAACAAATTAACCAACCTAATTTAGATCGGCAAAATACAATAGTTTTAGAGATAGGAAATGCCACATTAGCAAAAATATCACTTATTTTTACATTTCTATTACTCTTTCTTTCTTTATATATGTGGTATATACACTCCAATATAACGGTTTCATATATCTGAACACAAATTGTTAAAATACCAAGTTCACATAAATCTTTGTCAAGAGGACTACATAGTCTTTAGGGAATCGTTGCAAAGCGTTCAAATATTAAGTAATTAATAGCTAATTTCGGCTATAACTGTCGCAATTAGAGATAATGAAAGGTCTAAAATTATTTACAGATTTCTTAAAAGAATGTATATCCCAATTTCTTCAATCACACACATTCTATCTAAAGCTAGATATTTACTTAATGCAATTAAAATATATCAAATAACTGATGTATTCGACAAAAAGTTAGAAAAGTAGGTCGAAAATCCATTTAAAGTAGAAATGCTATCAATAAGTTTGATGTATATAAGGAAGCTTTTGAAGTTTGAGGGATTGGTATACTAAATTCATTAGATGTCGGTCGCGGTCGGTTTTTTTTTATTTGGACTCAATATAAAACATTTTGTCGACTTTCTTTAATAAACGTTATTAAATGTACGTATTTGTAGAGAAATTTGGAACTATTTTTTTGTAATGAAAAATGTACAGTCTCTTTACTTACTAAATTACAAATGAAATGATTAGCAAGACGAGCTGATTGGATTTAGCAATGTCTGTCTATCTGTATAGACTAGTCTCTTAGTTTTTGAGAAATCCATCTAAAATTTTGCACACGTGCTTCACCGATATACCATAAAAACTGAGCGATTAAAATCAAGTCCTTGTTGTTAACCCAATTTGGTATGTATTATTGCCAAAGCCAACATTTCCGAAGAAATTGTTGATCGGATCACTCTAGCATATTGATGCCATACTAACTGACCGATCGAAATCTAGTTCTTGTTAGAAAACTTGAACCTGTAAAGGATATTCTTCGGTGTAGTCGAAGTTACCAGTTTTTCTTAATTTTAATTTATTTATTTTATTGAAAGTAAAAGTTCTACACTTCACCTCCAGCACATCAAAATTTATGCAACGTTACACCAACCGCCTCCTTTAAAATTGATTCTTACCCGTATATTGTAGTCCACTATACCAGCTTTAATAGTTGATTGTTGGAAAGTCCTTCCAACGAAGATATGAGCCTCTTTGCTCCAATTCAGTATTTGTGTAAAATACCATTCCGGTTTGTCCAGCCGATTCGTTTGGCGTACGCCCATAAAGTGAAATTGAAACCTTCAAAGAAGGAAACTAGGTGAGTTTATGAGAATATAAAGTAATCAATAATATAAACAAGCCTCTGCGATGGAAAGAACAACGGTGCAGATAAAGGAGGTTTAGGAGCCAAAAGTTAGTTTAGCTTCCTAGATGCCCCAACGCCAGAGAAACGTGCGTTGTTTGTAAAGCATGCTAGAGATGATGACGATAAAATGCCCTTATACAGCATAGCTCAGCAGGCGACATCTACTGCGGCCGATGCTGTTGAAGCGAACCGCACTAAAAATCCTCCCAGCAGGATCAGGTGCTCGAATTCAGTGAGTCGTGACAGGTTTCAACCGGAATGCTCGCAAACAGAAATGGAAAAGAAGAGGCAGACTACTACCAGCTGTTTGTCCCCAAGGACAAGACATCTCTAGGAGAGAAAAACTCCTGAGGAAGCCGAGAAGCTAGCACGCAACAGGGTTAGAAGCAGCAGTGCCTCCCCTGCCTCTGAGAGGCGAAAAAGTGACAATATCGCGTCCGTTGCCGAACGGGGTAGCAAGACTCGAAGTCGTCGTCCGGTTCCGCAACCCCGACGGTATGGCGAGGTAGCGCCTCCGACTACCCAAACTGCGAAACGCATGACCGCCACTGAAGCCACCAAACTCCAAAAGACAGAAGGGCAACTATGCACAGGCGACCGGAGGCCGACACTTCGCTCAGAATCCCCCCCAAGTAGTGGAGAGGCAGCGCAGATATTTTTAAGGGGGTCGGAGGAGCTTACCCTTCTTCAAGATCTCCTCATTGAAGAGGTACCATTTATAGAGGATGTAGGTACCCAGTGTCTTTCCATGGGGTGTATTTCAAGAGAGGAATGCGTTCTACAGGTGGATTGCAAGGACGAGAGGACTGCTAACTGACTAAGGGAAAACGTTCTCAAGCTGGTAGGCTCGAAGGGTCCCCTCCTCTGCGTAAAGAGGGGAGATAACATTCCGCCCATGCAAAGCCATATAAGTTTGTTCTCGGGCTCATCATGAATCAGAACGAGGGCATTAATACCTCGCCCTGGCGAGTGGTCGACAATGTTTGCGGATGGAGGCTAAACCTCTGTCTAGACAATGAGTCCTACAAACACAGCCGGAAGGAGGGTTTCCGCTTGAACTATAAGCACAACGCGCCGTCAGTCTCGGCTGTCATCGCGAGTAAGCTCATGTCGGATAACCTGGTATCTGGCTTATCCTGGAACTATGGGTCCACAAAAGGGTGGTCAGAGGCCTCAAAACGGATGCAAATAAGGTATTCTGGGATCTCTCTAGTGAAAGACTCTAGAATTGGTGTAGTAGTTCTGAACGATATTGATTTCTTCTACATTTCAGAGTTCCTAACACAGGACCCGGTTGCTGAGCAGGCCAAGGACATTGAAGTTGCGGACTTCGTCCTGGCAGCGGTCTTCTTTCCGGGTGAGACACCGGCAGCACCCCCATAGGCCGTGAATAGCCTAGTGGACCACTGCAGGAGAAACAATAAAGAGTTCTGCAAAACAGCAAAGTTTTAGGAATTTCCGTGAAAACGACTCCTCAACTACGGAGGCAGCAAGGCTGCACAGAGCTCGGGCCAAAGGCAAGACTGATACAGAATTAGATATTAGAAGTTCTGATGCGACCTATTCGACCAGCGCAGAAGAAAAATCTGCGGGCCTCTTGCTTGTGCATTTTCAGGAGACAATTCGGGAAAACCAAGGTCACCTGTGGTCGAACACAAGCCATCTCGCTCGGATTGGATAGTCGCAAGACAGCTTTTTACTGTTTTTTATAAGTTACCCTTGGCAACAAGACTGAATGGAATGATAGCACAATTAAGTGGTACACCGACTGCTCGAAAACATCGTAGAGAATTGGTACAGGGGTCGCAGGACCGCGTACCAAACTCTACATATCTATGGGTAGTTTTTCGAGCATCTTCCAAGCTATAAGTCGGTGTGTAGAGATAAACCTCCAACGCAACTATCGCGACGAATGTATCGCCATAATACTCATCGATAGCCAAGCGGCATTTCGAGTGATCTCTGCTTATGAGATTAAACCGCTACTGGTGCAGGAATGCATAGAACGGCTGTACAGCCTATCAGATCGTAACCAAGTGCACCTTTTGAAAGATATATACATTAAACCATTTAGGGGCGGGGTTACGCCCACCCTTAAAGTAATGGAACACTATTATCAAATTGTTGCATTGTTATCGGTCCTTGACACGTCTGCAAAGTTTCAAGTTGTTTAGTCTTCTGGAAACCGGTCAAAATTGAGCTCTAAGATTCCATTTACATACATTCAACCCAAGCTAATAAAAGCGTATTAATAAAAATAGATACGTTTACTAGAATTGAAGTAATTTTCACGTTTGTAGTAAAATTACTATTGTAACGGGTGATCCAAGTAGATGTACTTTTTTCAATAGCCTTTTTTTGACAGATCACGCATGAGTCTTGTTATTTTTGTTCAGTATTGTTTGGCATTTCATCATGGAAAGACTTACGCCTGAACAAAGTTTACAAATCGTTCAACAATGAAGTTCGAGATCTCGGCAACATTTGGGGTCAACAAGACGGCGCCACTTCCCAAACGTCGCATCATTCAATGGTTTTATTTTTAAAGAACACTTCGGTGAGCCGATAATTTGAACAAAACTATTATACTCTGTAGCAACAAGTTAAAAGAGTATACAAATATTCTTCCTATTTATAAATAAATATATTCCACTATGATTTTGAGTTATTTGAAGAATATTTCAAAAACATTTAAATCTATTTTTTATTGCTGTCTCACTCTCAGCTCACAGTACGGTCTGTGGAAGCGGGAGCTAGAAGCGGTGGTGAGTGTTCGGTGTTGGAAGCATTTGAATGGCATTCTTTGCAAAAAATCAAACAAGTTGCTCGTTGTTCAAGTTGGAATAAACTTTTGCCGCTTTACATTAAAAAAGATGAATTAAAATAAAAATGAGCTATATACAAAGTATATAAGTTGTAACAAAAATAGTAAAAACCAATTTTAAATTAGTAAAAACCAATTTTAAATTAAATATCTTTTTAATTTAGACGTTAAAATAAATACGTGAAATGGAGAGATTGAAATGAGATACCATAGAATCCAAAAATCCTTTGTTTGAATTTATAAAAAATATTCGGGTAATTTTTTTTTAATTCTATGTGCATTATTTTTAGTTGTTTATATTGAGATGTATAAATATATGACTTAAAAGTTTAGAATGATTAAAGAAACCACAATTATATTTTTAACTGTGCCAAAAAAATTTTCATTTGTGATCGATTTTTAATCATTGCAGACAAATTTCAGCTATGATGAATTTATTGGTCCCAGTGAAAGGCGTGAGAATGAGCAGTATAGAAATATTGTTATTCCAGTCAAAATACCGATGAGAGATGCGCACGTAAACTTATACGTTTATTTACATTATGTTTTCGCACAATGCCCTTAGGAAAATAATACAAATTTTGCCTGAATTGGCGTGCTGACAAATTTTTTTTTAGCTGTGAATGTCAAATTTCCGGTAAAATTATTGTTACTGTTCTTGTAAGGTAAGGGAGGGTAACAGCGCGAGGGTAGACAGTTTTGCAAATTTTTTGACTATACTCAGTTAGTGTCAGGTGAACAATTCCCACAACAGCCGGTTCTGCGATACCGGAATTGACCCGGATTTTATCCGGCCAAGGGCTGTTATTTCGACGATCTAACCCTGTTTGGATCGGTAAGTTTTAGATTAAGTTTGTCGTCACTGGAGCAACGCCTAGCAGCAGGGTTGCTCCGTATCCTCCTGACCCGTGCTGGCATCGAGTCCAACCCGGGCCCCGAGGTATTCTACTGCTGCGTATGCGCAAAAAGGCTCCATCCAAATTCCACCTCGGTTAGGTGCAATACATGCAATGGATGGAGCCATCTTAAGACCTGCTCGGGCCTTAAGACACACAGGGAGTGGACCACGAGTTACGTGGCCCCATGCTGTCAACGCAATAATGCGACATTTGCCTCAACGGCCGTGCAACCTGCACCATGTTCGCGCACTGCGCTGCCACTCCAGTCGAGTGGCCAAAATAGGACCTCCACGGTCCTTAGGAGCTCACAAAGACAGCACAACTCCCAATCTGACCAACCTCCCCCCCCCCCCCACCTTCATCCAGCTCCAATCCCCGTGCGAGAACCACACAGCAACTCCTGGTTCCTCGCACAGTCTGTTCCGTGTGTCAGACCATAATACGCCGGAATGTCACATCAGTCAAGTGCAATTCTTGTACTGGCTGGTGTCACTTTCTGTCGTGTTCTGGCCTGCGCACCACACGAGAGTGGAGTGCGTTGTATGTTGCCCCATGCTGTGGGAGTCTGCCCCCGCAATCACAAACAGTGGCGTCGCCAACCAACACCATAGTGCGACAACCGCCCATGCGGATAGCACAGCTGCAACAACCACCACCTACACGCACCCCACTCACCCCTAGGATCACGACTGGACACCCGCGACAAACGCGACTCTTACAATTCAACTGCAACGGACTCCAGAGCAAGATCGAGGAGATAGTTGCATTTATGAGCCGGGAGCGCGTAACGATAGCTGCGGTCCAAGAAACCAAGTTAAACAGCCGCTCAGATCTTCTGAGTTGTGCAGGTTTCAACGTTTTACGTAAGGATCGCGAGCGAGATAATGGTGGAGGCCTAGCCTTCATATTGCACAACACCGTGCAATATCGTCTAATCGATGTTGACATCGACCGCAGGGACACTACCCTAGAATGTCAGGGAATAGCTGTCCGGTCAGGCGATGTCGAGCTCGAAATATTTAATATATACATCCCCCCAGTTACATGTTGCCCAACAGGATATCACCCGAATATAGATGCGCTACTTCGTGGTGAAAACCGTCTGGTGCTAGGCGACTTTAACGCGCATCACGATCTTTGGCATTCCTGCCTGTCAAACGATCGTAGGGGGATGGAGCTGGCGGAACAGATAGACGATTCGACATTCTGCACAATGAATGACGAAGCCCCCACCAGAATTATGGGCACCTGTAATAGCTCGCCAGATATTACCATCGCTAGCGGTGGTCTGATAAATAGTATAACCTGGCGACCTATGCTAACTCTTGCATCAGACCATCTGCCCATAATTATCTCGATCGAGAAACCTCCTGACTTTATTTCTGTGGATAACCGCACCTATGTTAACTTTAACAAAGCTAACTGGGTCGGCTTCACAGAATTTACTGAGAGCACCTTCAACGCACTATCCATTCCTACGGACGTCATCGTTGGCGAGCGTCAATTCCGCAAGGTGATCGCTGCTGCTACAGCTCGCTTCATACCGGCTGGAAGAATAGCGGAACTCCGCCCTAATTTCCCAGCCGAAGCAGCTGTATTAGCAAATGAGCGCGACACCTTACGCCATGCCGATCCCTGTGATCCCCGAATAAGGGATCTCAATTTGGAGATTCGGCACATGGTAAACCATCATAAGCGGACAAAATGGATAGAGCACCTGAAGTCCTGCAACCTCTCCACCGGTGTGAGTAAGCTTTGGACTACTGTCAAGGCCCTGTCAAATCCGAGGAAACATGACGATCGGGTTGAAATCCAATTCGATGGCCATGCCTCCTCGGACCCGAAGAAGTGCGCGAGCTACTTTAGCCGGCAGTTTATACTGCACCCTTCGACCGACAAGGCCAAACGATGTGTTACCCGACGGTTGCGCAAAATGCCAAAAGACTGCGCACCACTTACTTTCACCGATGAGGAGGTTCAGAATGTCATCAAAAAGGCGAAATCATCCAAATCCATCGGCCCTGACGGAATAAACATGCTGATGTTAAAACATCTAGGCCCAACGGGAGTAAACTACCTCACCAAGGTCCTCAACCTGTCGATATCCACTCTTCAAATACCCGATGTGTGGAAAGTCGGAAGAGTGGTCCCACTACTGAAACCTGGGAAACCCGCCAACAAAGGGGAGTCTTATCGCCCGATAACTCTCCTTTCCCCAGCGGTGTCCTCTCCCCGCTACTGTTTAATTTCTACATTTCGAAACTCCCCCAGCCACCAGCGGGAATTTCAATGACCTCGTACGCAGATGACTGTACGATATTGACGTCGGGCAATGGAATCGATGGCATGTGTTCAAAAGTAAACGGCTACCTCTCCGATCTTTCTCGCTTCTTTTCTGCAAGGAACTTAACACTCTCCCCCACTAAATCCACAGCGACCATCTTCACCAATTGGACGAAGGAGTACAGACTGGACCTGAACATTTCAGTCGATGGCACAAAAATTCCGACAGTAAATAACCCTAAAATTTTAGGCGTCACTTTGGACAGTCTGTGCTCTTTCACTCCTCACACGACCGCGATAACTGCCAAAGTACAGAGCCGCAACAAAATCCTCAAGTCGCTTGCCGGCAGCTCATGGGGAAAGGACAAAGAAACGTTGTTGGCAACATACAAGGCAATCGGCCGGCCGGTCCTCAATTATGCAGCCGCAATATGGTCGCCTGGATGTAGTGACACGCAGAATAAGAAGCTCCAGACTTGTCAGAACACTGCACTCCGGACTATCACGGGGTGCCTCTTGATGTCCCCAATCGAACACCTACACAGTGAGGCCCGTATGCTTCCGGTTAAGGAACATAATGAGCTCCTCTCCAAGCAGTTTCTGCTGGGATGTTTTCGCAGAAACCACCCCTGCAGACGCCTGCTTGAAGCGGAGCAGCCTCCTAGGAACATCAAGAGGTCCTTCCTTGACTACGTCGACGACATCAGACAGCACGTCGACCAGACTTCGGACGCAACTAACTTCAGACAAGCACTGACCGCCATTCACAGTGGAGCCATTAACACCTTCACCGACTCCCTTTCAGTGAATGGCGTAATACGAGTCAAACCACCACCCATTGCAGACACAGAGCTCGAGTTGCCTCGCGAATCTAGAGTGACCCTCGCGCAACTTCGTTCTGGATACTGTAGCAGGTTAAACTCCTACCTATCCAGAATAGACCCCGACATACTAAACACATGTCCTGCATGCAATGAGTCTCCGCATGACACTAACCACCTCTTTGCATGCCCTACAAACCCCACTCATCTAACACCCCTTTCCCTATGGTCCGACCCCGTCGAAACAGCTCGTTTCCTGGGCCTTCCGTTAGATGACCTCGACGACAACGAATCTAGAATTTATCACCCAAACGGGGATTAGATAATCGTTATAACAACAACAACAAGTGTCAGGTGAATATTGCATAACAAATTTAATTAATTTAGACGCGCTGTTAATGCTATATGAAATGTCACTGACATTTCATACAATAACATGCAGGTAAATCAGGGTGATTGACTAGTAGTTTGTAAGATGCATTGAATAGAGGAGGGGATAAACGCACATTTTGAAAGTATGTCACTCCCTCCAGGATCGCATTCAAATTATGGTTCAAGTTATAGCGCAATTAGTATTTGGATATAATAATTTATTTATTTCCGTAAGTTTTCAATTTATATTAATTATTTTCTAATAAAATATTATTACATTCGCCCTGCTATAGTTAGAATTTATCCAGCGTTTTTCATTACTTTAAATATTCTCACAAAATGAAGTCACACTCAAATCCCTTAGACTATAAGCTATTGTTTGATCACAGTCTCATTGAATGTCAGTCGATAATATTCTTTGAAATAATTGCCGTTTATAAGGAGATAAACTCAAATCATCCTTCAAAACACGCGGAAAAGTGGTAACACGAACTCTAAATTAGCTCAATCAGTTCGATCAGGCGGATTGGTCTTTAATGAACCACAGGTTTACAATGTCCTTCTGCCATACAGACATAATAGAACACAACCATATTTACTTTAATAAAATTTCTATTTTTTTGCAATAAACTGCTAAAACTAAACTGAAAAGCAAATTTAAATTTTTAATTCAGATTTTAAATTTTTAATCCAAGATGCTTAGGATTAAAAATTGATTTGTTTTTAATTTAAAATCAGAATTGAAAATTGATAAAACATAAATTGTTTGAATGCGTAAGTTTGCCGACCAATGCTCTAGAGTCTAGAGTATTGATGATGATGTCCCTGCGCGAGCTCTATTTCAAAATGATAAAACACGAAGAACGCAACCGCGAAAAAAAGTTAATTCTACAACTTCTTTTTTTTTTTAATTTTAAATGCTTGGGATTTTTCCCCAATCCGGTATTTGGGATTAAAATTTTTTTTTTTTAGTACCGTATTTGGGATTAAGAAAACATTTTAATTAAAATTTTGTGGATTACCAAATAAAAAAAAAAATAATTCAAATGTTAATTCATTTATTTTTTAATGTACTATTTGCAACTATGACTGTAACTTATATATACGTATATATGTTTTCAATAAAGAAAAATATTAATTGTACCTTTGTTGATATGGGGCCAGCAACAATTTTGCGACAGTGCTAACTGGTTGACAAATAATGCTAGGCGTTATAACTTCCAGTGGTTCGTCCTCTTCAATAGGACATTTAATCTAGAATAATACATAAAGTTACTAAAAGAAAATAATAATATTATTTGAATTACTAGAAACAAATATTCTGCTAACAGCTTGGCTTTGGCAATATTCTCACATGATGGTGAAAACATCAATGAATTCCATTCCTTACAGCCCCAACGCATACATTTTAAAATAGACTCCAATTCTCTAGAATTAGAAAATGCAAATTCATAAAATTCACGTAATTTTGAGATTAAATACTTTTCCACGTTTCTTTCGTTTTTTTGCAGTAATGTAGATGTGTGGACAAAGTATTTTTAGAGTTTATATGATTGCAGTTCATTATTAATACATAATATATTTATTGTTGTGTCCATTCTTCTTCATGGAAAAAACGTTTAACCAAATGTGCTATACTCCTAAAGAAAAAACTGCAACACAATCAAAACTACTGATAAATCACCATTAACGAAATGGGTAAGTCTAAAAATTTCTGCTCCGACGTGACCAAACTGAAATACGCGTTTTTCTTTTCACTGATGACCAAACATTAAATCCGATCCGTTTATTTGCCTGTACATTAAAAAACTCAAGACTCAGAAAGAAAATATGATTCAACAGGTGTTTTCGAGGTTCAAATAGGTAGGATTCAAGAGATGTTAGCTATGAAGAATTAAAGTTTGAGTGTTGTATGTTATCAATAATATAACTTAATTTCGTCGATTGATACTGTTGAAAACAAGCTAAGTAATTTGAATTTGATGGTTCGACAAAACATCGATAAATATGCAAATGCAAATCTATAACTCTCCGAAATAAAGATGATGAAATAGCTTGTTGCAAAAACGTAATACAAACATACACATACATATGTAGCGGATCTACATAGACAATTTTGTACGACTTTTCTCAACTGACGTTTCGGCAAGACGACAAAGCTGCGCACATCGAAAAGATAAAGAAAATGTAAAACAAATTGAAAATCAAATTAACTCGTGCCTTATTATTTAAATATTGTGGTTATTATTAAATGTAAATTGCTCTATCTATAATTGCAAGCTGTTGTTGCTTGCTGCCACACGACAATCGATAAAGTTGAAAAGGTGCAGCGTAACCTCTGTAAGTCACTGGCCTATAAACTATCGTCACCAAGTCACATCTGCACTACTGATGAGGTCTACCAGTGCTACTGTATAAACAAACTGTCTTCTCGTCGACAGGTCGCTGACCTCTGCTTTTTCTACAAAGTAGTCAATAACATCACTGATGCTCATGAGATCCTAAACAGTTTTGAACTCGCCCCTGCTGGTCTTACCCTGAGGTGAAATAGATTACTAAAAACATCGAAATCCAAGAAAAATTATGTTATCCATGGTCCTCAGAATAGACTGGCTAATTTAGTAAATTCACTTCAAGGTGAAATTGATTTCTATGGAGGAACATACGCTGCTTTTACCGAAAACACCAAGAGACACCTGCTCGTCTGAATTACATCTAAATCAAGTCTGAATTACATATTAACTTACAATTATTTAAATATTTTCCAGATATTACACTAATATACCCTAGCCACTTTTGTATAATACTTTAATTCTTTATTATATCTATGTATATTGCCGATTGGCGTTTAAATAAATAAATAAATAAAAGTAATTTCACGGGCGGAAAATGCTGTCACATACGTAGAGTACGAAATAGATCATTTTGTGACAATTCACAAGAAATCTTTCTAGGGGTAACGATTACTGTCCCGCTGAGATGAAGGAGTGGTAGCAACAGATGTACAGTTGCCGGTCTACTAAATACATGTACTTGAAAACGCTGGCAAAATCCCCGATTTTTGTGAAGCATTATTAAAAGTGATAGGCAGCATTGCCTATTGCAAGAAGGTTTAAACAGAAAGTAATGAAAAACAATGATAGCATAAACACAATACGGGCGACGGCGAATATTCGTTGTTGTTGTTGTTGTAACGGTTATCTAGTCCCCGCTTGGATGGTAAGTAAAAGTTTGGTTGTCGTCGAGGTCATCTAACGGGAAGCCCAAGAAACCGCCTGTTTCGACGGGGTCGGACCATAGGGAAAAGGGTGTTAGATGAGTTGGGTTTGTTGTGAGGAGTGAAGGAGCACAGACTGTCCAATGTGACGCCTAAAATTTTAGGGTTATTTACTGCCATCGACTGAAACGTCCAGTCTGTACTCCTTCGTCCAATTTGTGAAGATGTACGCTGTGGATTAAGTGGGGGAGAGTGTTAGGAGTAAAATTCATTGTAAATCAAACAAACGCGAACCTTTAATACTTGAATTTTTGAACTTTAAATACACATGTTTATCTCAAAAACCATAAGTTAGTGGCAACTATATCTACATTTTCTTAATCTGGAGAACGTCCTCTATCTGTACATATTCATATACATACCCTAATAATGATGCTGTTATACATCCCAGCCTTTTTTTCTTTTTGAAATATTACAAAAAGTTATTTCTCTTTAATAAACAATTTAATATACTTAGTAAAGATTACCTTGCGAACTTGTCAGTAAGAATCCTATGCCAATAGGAAGCAGTTTCCGTTGCGAACAATTTGAGGTAATATGATTCAATATTAGATAACCGGCCGATTACACTATTCTCACAATCCTTATCTTCAAATAGCGTCAAATATATATTGACCGTTTTAGCGTCATCTCTACCATTGACAGCGTCACTTAAACTCTGACTAACAAAAATTATTATTAAAAAGGAAAAACGAAAAACAGTCATGTTACCTGATCTCTTGTATATCTAGTACTATTTTCATATAATGCGACAGCTGTTGCAGTCTTCGTATATTTCCAAGATCTTTAAGCACGACGGATAGCGCTTCATTAGACCTATCAATTTTTGGAGTTAATTGCTTCTCAAACTTAATCAATTTCTCTTTTTGCAATTCCATGCTTTTATTAGCGTTATGCTGACTCCGCAGTGCAGATTCAAAAATTCTTAGATCTGCATGGTTTTTTTCATTTAACTAAAACAATGATATAAAATAAATAAACCAAGAAAATTAATACACAACTGCATGCGAACGTACGTTTTGCTTTAGATGTTCAATTGAAGTTTTGTAATTTTCTATCAAGACAGTATTTCGATGAAGTTTCTTGAAATCACTACCAATTTCCTTATTCACGAACTTAATTATTCGCTGTTCGATTAAATCTTTGCTCATTTTTAAAAAAAATTTTAAACTATAAAAGCCTGAATAAACAAATAAAATCTAAAGACAAAACATAGGTGAATAAATCGATATTTTACGTTTAACCCTTATACGGCGTAAGTATGCAAGTCAAAACTACATATCTACACAATTATCTGCAGGTACGTACCATACATGTTCAATAATTTTTAAAAAGCGGATGATTAATAGAGATTAACAATTCAAAGATACGTTAAAATATTTCGGAAAGGTCCTGAAATTTTTGGTACGTAAATAACTATCGTTTTTTTTTATTTATCAAACCTAAACCTGTTTTCCCTGACGAATTGTATTGTAGTCTCTCAAAACTAGCAGGAGCGTGACTTAATCCAAAAGGCATTACGGTAAATTCCCGTAGACCGTTGGAGATAACTGAAAGACATATTTTCTTTGTCTTCTTTGTTCACCTCCACTTGCCAATAACCAATTTTCAAATGAAGTGTTAAGAACCATTTTGTGTCTGATAATGATTCCAGGTTGTCATCGATCCTAGGTAGTGGATAACTGTTTTTCTTCGTTACATCATTCAACCTTGTATAGTCCACATAGAACTTCATGTTTCCATCTTTCTTCTTCCCAAGTACTACAGATGAAACCCATGAACTTGATGATGATTCCATAGTCCACAAACAACCTCATGCTTCCATCCTTCTTCTTCACAAGTACTACAGGTGAACTCCGTGCATTCGCTGATGGTTCGATTACGCCGCTTTCACTCATTTTAAGTATGGTCTGACTTACAACTTCACGTTTTGCTAAAAAAAAAAACGTTTCGAGTAGCCTGGCGGATGGGCATTGCATCCCTCGTCTTAATAAAATGTTTCACAACATTGTTTCTTTCTGGTATAGAATGGCCTTTATCAAATATGGTTGCGTATGTGAGAAGGAGTTGTTTAGCCTAATTTTGATGGTCTGCCTCTAGTTTCTCGGTCCATGCGTTAATGTAGCTAAATATGTCGATTTCGCCTTAGTCTTATCTTGTCATAGCCTGGGTTTTGCCTATATGTAAGTTTGGTGTAGATTCTTTTGTGGCCTCAACAACCCATAATCTGTTTGCCTCATAATCTTCATTTAATTCTGCCAAAATAACTGCTTCTGATTTTGGAGGAATCTGTTGACTCTCTGTTCTTATCATTCGCCTAAAGTTGTACTTATTATCGTTACCGAACATAAGTGGCACTTCCATATATGCATAAATCATAACCCTCTTTGCCGTCTACATACTCACTAACGATAACGTTAGTCGTATTCCTGCTCATTTGTGAAATGAAGATTACAGGGCATTTGCTTGCGAGAGCTAGCCCGTACGCTTTTCGGCTGGCTCGCTTTAGTTGAACGATTGGTTGTATTTGAGATTGTCCTTACCTTCCTCAGATTTGCGTTTGCGTTTGGAGCGGTTATATTCGATATTACAGTTGCGTGCAATGTGACTACTTTTTCCGCAGTTGAAGTTGTGGTTAAATACACTATCATTTTTCTTACGCGTTTCTGTAAACTTTTCCAGTACTGCATGTTTTGTTTAACTTTTTCAAGTATTTGGTTCACGCAGGTGTGTTTTTCTATTTCTACTTGATGAGCTTTAACTGTTTGATTGCTAAGAAGAGATGCAGTTTCCTGTGTCAGAGCATATGAAACTGTTTCCTGAAACATCAATTTTGGACGTTCTAACGTAGCAAAACGTGTAGTGTCATCTCTTATTCCGCTAACAAAGATCCGAACTTTCGTGCCTCTATAAACTTCACGGATTTATGTGCATAAGTTAACCTCTCAACCTCTGTAGAAAACTTGAGCATTTTTCTTCTCTTCTATCTTCGTTGTTTCTTCATCTAATTCCAATTGAAAGAGAACACGCAACCGTGATTGTAATTCGGCTTTTATTCATATTGTTGTCAAACCACGTTGCTCGAGCCTCTTTTTTAGTTGTGGAGTCTTCAGAATCGTTGAACTTGGCCCTTTCAGAACAATTCTCTCTATGGGAATTTATTTGACAATCCCACTTCTGACAGCAATTGTAACGGTCGGAATATCGTTACTCGAACATTCGGGCAACTACGAATTTCATTGTCTGGTTACTACTAGCAATTTATCGTCGATTCTATTTTGTTCCGGCATTCGTGTTCGCACCAAAAATATTTTAAAACTCTAACAATTATGGACATCGACGGTTGCGATGGTGCAAGATTAAATCATTCGCGTTGCATTTTTGATAACTGCGAGCAGCAAGAAGAGTTATTAATAATTTCAGTAGTAAATTCGGCGCTATAATATCCATTTGAGAGGCAGGAGTTAGCTTAATTTACCGGGAAGCAAACTAACAAACTAAACAGACGTAAATAAAAATAATATACTAATGCAGTTGGTTGGCAGATATTAAAGTACATATATTTTTGAAGAAAAGGAGCCGAATCATTTTAATTGAACGATTGGATATGTAACAAATCGAATTAGAAGAGCAAGTTCCGTATAGTACAGCGATACAAGTAGCACGCAACAATTAGAATATTTCAAAACTTACTTACATCTCTCCCAGGCAAAGCGACGGGGAAAAGAGCTGTAACAGTAGATGTAGTTTTGTACTCAAACGAACATTATAGCTTTTTCGCACAGGAGTTAATTGACAAGCGGCCTTTGCTCGATTAAAGCGCTAACTTTGATCGATTTACTATACCACATAAAAAACTTTTTTTTCTGCATTAATTCTTAATCGATTAACCACCACAACCTGCTCGTTGCATTTGAGGTGTGGCCGTTGGCGACACTGCTTGAAGGATCACTGTGCCTATCGGTGGTAGCAGCCTCGTCTTCCAACGACGTTTGGACCGATATCCCAGTTCGCTTCTTTTCGTTATCGACTTTAATTTTTAATCGGGGGTCTTTATCCCTAGCGTTTTATGCCTACCGATAGGTTCCTCATAAGCAATGGCCGTTGTATTCACCCGTTCACTTCTTTCTGAGATTGCATAAAAGGCAGTCCATCATAAAGGGATGATTAAGGAAATACATTAGCCTTCGCTAGGAGCCGCCTACCTGCAAAGTCATGACTCAGCTAGGAATCACGAGATTGTAAGCAGCGACCCCTATTGCGCAATCGACACCCGATTGAAGGATATAGCTAAGAGGAATTGGGGAAACTTTAGTATAGCATCCCACAATTTCAGGGTTAAGAGGGGTATGGTTGAATATAGGAGATTCTTCAGATAAAGAGTATATATACAATAATTATAGCCACCGGAAACTTATATTTTACGAGATATTTACATTTTAATTTGAAAATTTCACAATTTTTATCTTACAATTTCTCGATTTATAGTTAATTTTTCTTTTATATCATGCACTTATTATACACTAACACTTCACTACATTGTTTCTACATATTTATTTTATATTAATTATTTTAATATTTGTTATAAATATGCATTTTATTTTACACAATTTTCGTTATATGCACAATAACAAATGTGTTCCATGTTGACAGATAATAAGTGTTGCCATATCTATTTACATATGTCACTTGATTGTTAGGAAGTTCCAATGGATTTAAGTGATCACGAAGGCATTTTCTTATGCGCGGGTCATCAGTTTTAGGCCCTCATTTTTGTCATCGTAATATAAATCAAAACTTATGTCCATTTTATTAATTTTCCGCCTTTTCACAAGAAATAACTTAATTCTTACTTAATATCTTAAATTCTAGCTGATTAATTATATGTAAAATTTTCGGTATTTAAAAATATCTGAAGTTGAATTGCTTCAACTGTGTGGGGTTGAAAACCGTAAGAGCTCAACAAATTTTTCACCTCACAATTTATTTGTAAAATAGTTTGTTTTTGCCCATTTTCTACTAATATTTTCAACCACTACTGCTTGGTAGCAGTTGTAATGTTTGGATATTCTGTTTGGTATAAAGTTAAAAACCGTACTGCCACAAAAAAGTTGAAATTTGACACTTTAACCAATTTTTTTTTGACGTTTTGAGGTGATAACTATAATTCTGAATTTCAAAACTTGAACCAAAATGTACTTGAATTGAAAACCGTTGTTGGGTCATCGATTGAGAACCACTGCATTATACAGTCATATGTTCTAATATATTTTTTGCTATTTCTTGTTCTCTATTTATTTGTGTAATATTCAAGGGCAAGCATTATAAGACATTCAACTCAATGCAGTTAATATTTGTATTTGCATTGTGTGGATACATAATTGCTTGTTTGCGCTTGCTTTGTACACTTATGCTACCGCTTTGTTTTTCTCAACGCAATTATATGAACACTTGTTTGTGCACATTAGCTAGTCCCATTTAATTTGTACTAAGCTTAATATGTAAGCAGCCTCTTGCAATGCTGCGTTTCCATTTTTTACATTTCTCTTTTTCTTAATAACTACATTATATACGAAGGAGCTATAGCGTAAAGTATGTACTTGAGTTATTCTCCTTTTATGAACTGTTAAAGATATATATGTAACATACATACTTATGTAAATGTATATGCACTAATACAAAACGAAACTATGTATTTAGCGGTATTGAAATATTGCTTAGAATATTATTTTAGAAGAAGAATTTTACAAATAAAGTTAGTCTAGCAGCTGACCACACATAGCGTCATTACTTGGCCCTTTGTATTTTTATCGTTGCTGGAGCTTCGCTTAAATTTTTCACATTATGGATATTTGCGCGAATACAAAAAAAGCTTTGTAGCCCTACAACTGTAATAGGGTGCTAAGTAACATTGTAAACGTCGTTACATAAGACCTCACTGTCAGAAACTTGGTAATGTAAAATCTGCAGAATGCAGAGCATGCAGAGAGAATGGTGGGACGCTAGAACATTACTTTTGCGAATGCACTACCTTCAACTGATTAAGGCAAGATATCTTCCTATGTTTCAGATAGGAGTCGTAGCGAGCCCACTGCGCCAGTGAGCCGCGCTGCACTTTATTTCTTCACATTGATTCTGCTCCCGTGCCTCAATGACGCCTGTATCGAATTTTATGTTGCAGCCTAGCCGCTCACCCCGTGACTTTTTTCTTATTCTTACATTTTTAAATTCGTGATGTATTTCAAACGGAATGACCGAATCAAATAACTCGAAAACTTATATTCGT